ATGGATGGTGAAGAGATTGAGATTGTTCACAGTTTTAGTTTGCTTGGCTCCATAGTCAACACTCTTGGCACCAGCAGCCAGGAAATTAAAAGGAGTATGGGAAAGTCTGCTGTTAGGGACCTTTCCAAAGTACCAAAGAGCAATGGTGTCACTCTGGAGACTAACGTGCGGCTGATACAGGCCATGGCCTTGCATCAAAGAGCTGGACAATGACTAGGGAGGACATAAGGAGAATGAATGCTTTTGAGCTGTGGTGTCGGAAGAGTATTGAACTGTGAGAAAATGAACAGGTTCTTCCTGTTGCTGTGTTGTTGTTGTTAAGTGTCATTGAGTCGTAGACAACTCATAGTGACCGTATGAACGAAAGACTTGAGCACTGTTCATAGAGTTTCCGGGGGCAAGTCATTTCAGAAGTGGATGCCTCTCTTGCTTCCAAGCTTGTTTTAATTGGGAAGCTCCACCAAACACTGTCCACCCTGGTAGCCATTATCACATTTGGCACATCAGTGTCATATTGTTTAGCATTACAGCAACCATGAGATACCTCTGTACAGCAGTGTACAAACCAGTGCTATACTACTTAGAAGAATGTTTGACAAAAACCAATTTAAACTAGGCCCCAGGGCCTGAGGTCCCTAATGGGTTTTTAAATAGGAGGCCTTATCATATCTTCTCACTTCCCTTAGCAATCAACATTCCACCCTACTGCTCACCAAATCCCAGCCAACAGCTTCTCTAGAACCAGCTCCTGTAGATGACTTTCACACTGGTCTCCAGCGCCATGCTGCCCACCAAAAAGGTTTTATTTTTTTTTTGTTGTTGTTTTTTCCCCCCTCTTCTATGTAAATTAACTTTTATGCAAGAGCATTTAGGAACCATTGGCTAGCAATTAACAGACAATAACAACCTTGTTAACTTTTTTTCTTTTGGGGTTTTATATAAAATTTTTATTCATATACATTGTTTTTCACACTGGATCTTTCCCATTTTGTTAACCCACTCCTCCCTCCACCCATCAAATTTTG